ATTGATGGGAGGTGGCGGGGACCGCGCTTAGCGACGTCGCCGCCGGACTTTGATGGCAGCGACGCGGGGGTGATGGGAGAGCCGACGCCCCGCCCTCCGTTAGCGACAATTAGCGGTAAGATTTAATTATTTCGGTGGTAAGCGAGGTACAATTAGGCGTATTTAACGCTCCCAAGCTGATGGACACGAAACGCCGCTAATTAGCGGGGGATATCGCATACATATCCCCCGCTAGTTAGCGGGCTTTCGTGGTAGGTATAGGTGCTCTCGTTGGAGAATTAACCGTTCTTTAACGAAATGGCTCCTCGGCTGTGCCATTTCTCCATATGTGCGTACTCTTTTCGTCTTCATCTGCTCGCACTCCGCTTTAACCCCATCCATTCTCGAACTTCGTCCACACTGCCTCTTCATTTTGCATGCTCCATATGTCCTTTCTGCTGGACGCGGCTGTCCGCAGCTGCTGTGGACTCTTGGGCGGCAGGCCGCGTAGTACCCATCAACAGTTCTCTAACGACTTCCTCGCTCGGCGCCGGGCGGGGGTGCGCGGTTGCTCCATGTAGCTGTATCTCCATTGTGTTCTCCTCTCCTCTCGTCCTACAAGTCCTGCCGTCCTGTCCCATTTGCGTACCAGGTCTATTCCCATAGCATTTAATTATAATGCTTCAGCTGACCATACGCGTGTGTCTCGCAGCACAGTTCCCACAGTGCCGCGGTCATCTCTCGCACTGCGCCGCAATCCTTCTCACTGCGGCCGAATCTCCGTGGCATGAATAAAAGACCAATCCCTCCCTCTGCCACTGCTTTCTTCGTTCCCCGTCCGATTTGACATTCCCTCGCTGGCAATGGTCTGGGTTGTCTCATCTGTGCACTATCAATTCAATCATATAGCTTGCTATTTCCCCTTGGACTCAACAGTCTCTCATTCACATCGTCCCGCTGCAAAATCTAGATGGGTTGCTGCTGGCGACTGTGTTGTTTAATCGTCAGCTCGGTATGAGTCTTAAGAACAAACGAAATATCCTCAATACTCTTGCCAGAGCCAGTCTCCGCTAGCACTGGAATCTATTCCTTCCGCTCCACAGGCGTAGTCCAATTCCTTGTTTTTGGTTAAGCGCATTCAAATGCTCATTCTGACATTTTGTTCGAATTTTTCTCAACCTCACCAGGTGTGTTGAACATTTTGATGTACTGTTAGGGATCAATCTCAAGACCTTCGGTGTTCGGAAATCGCTCGCGTTGCGGCTGCTTTCCACCCACCTTCTCCCTCACACCTATGTTGTCCTCCTTCCATTTATTTCAGCCCTGCTCCCAATGCCATGGGTAGTCAAGCCTAAGAAGTTGCAGCACTGAGGCTATTGCTTCTTGAGAGACATCAGCCAAAGCACAAAAGCGGTACATTGCATAGACACATCAATGGTCCATGTGACCAAACACCCGGAAGAAACACCTGTTTGTGTCAAGTTTGGCAATTTTGACGACAATGTTGTTTGCAATATTGGTATCCAATGGATGTATGTCCATAAGATGCTTAGTTAGACTCTCAAATAAAAGGATCATCAGCAATTCAATGTATGGCCTGGTACAATATCAGATGTGAAATAGGCAAATAATTTGATTCCCCTACATTTTGTCCCACACTGAGCAATCCTGGGCTGTGGTAGGGCAGAAGATGGAAATGAGACAGAACAAGAAATCAGCATAGATCAATTTATTGTCAATCTCAGAACTGCTGGAAATCAAGTTGAAATTTTCAAGAAAGGTTTCCAACTCCTTTTCAGGGAGACTATTAGCAGTAATGAGCAGGAGAGACCACATTGTGACTGATTCAACATAGTATGTTGGATGGAACGGTCTGCATGTCCAGAATTCAATGGAACTCACAGATACTTTATTAGCTCATCTTAAGTTCCAGGTGGTCCAGACCACCAGAGGACTTAAGTGATAGAGAACTCAAGTGATTGCAGCAAGGATTATATCAAACACAAAAACAAAATCCACCTAAGAGATTTGAACAGCTGACCTTCCAACTTATAGAAGAAGAAGGTAAGAGGAGTTAACCACCAGGAAGCCCATACTTGAAGTGCTCAATCAGACTGTGATTAGATGTCTTCCATGCCCTCTTCTACCATGGTAAGTACTGCATATGTATTGACACACTTGTCATTTCCAGTCATCTTTCATCATGTTTTTTATATAGATTAATTTATTGCAACAGATCAATCTCTAAATCATCTATGGATAGTGGTTTGGCCACAAGTCATGAAGAGGGAAAATAAAGAAGTGGAGAATGTTTAGGCCATTATGGGGCTAATATTGTATCTGTGTGTTCAAGATACTGTATCCCTCTTGGTGTAGTGGTTAACACCTTTATCTTCTGCTAGTAAAAAAGTCAGGAGGTCTGGTGTTCAAATCCCATTGGTGGATTTGTTTTTGGTGTTTGGACAGGACTTGAGTGTTAGCGCAGGACTTAAGTGTTGCGGGACCTGAGTCCCAGTGAAAACACGGTATCGGCCGATATCGCCGGGTATCAGTTGGCTCCGCTGGGCTCGCCGTGTATCGTCTTTGTATCGTGAGGGCTTGAAAGTGGAGCTAGCGACATGTCCAACTTATCTATGATGTCATGGAATCTAGCCAATTTTTAACATATTTCTAGGTCTCGACTTTCGACGCCGCCGATTTGAAGTTTTAACTTGACTTGTCGACTTGAAGTCGTACTTAAGTCGAACCGGACTTGGCGGAGCTGGTCCGTGCACTGAATGACATCATGGGTGTGACGTGGTGTGTCGACACTTCTCTTTTGACTACCACCACATCCTCTACGTCTTTGGTACCCTCCGCTGTTTCCTGGTCGTCTGGCTGTCTCTGGGTCTGTCTTCGCATCTATGTCTTCCCTATCTTGTCTGCGGTGGCCAACTTGTATGGCTTTCAGTTCTTGTGCATCAAGGCAGAGCGCGTATCGGATGTCTTGGGCAAAGGCTTCCCGGTGGCACAGCGGCGAGCTGGAGCATAGAGCAGTGAGGCGAGCAGGAGCGGAGCAGGAGCGTGTGCGTGGGAGGGAGTGGCGGGGGGTCAGCAAGGATGCAAGGTGTGGGCCTGCCTCGGTCAACGTGCGCTGCATCTGACATAGCTACAGTGCTTGTCTGAGCAAGTAGAATCTGCGAGGTACGTGTGCAGCCCATGTCCTGGAAATTCACAAACTAATTTCACTACCTGCAGAACAGGTCTGGCTGGATATTCCGAACCAACAAGGGACTGGGCAGCAGGCTGGCACCGAAGGAACAGGGTGCAGGTGGGTGGAGGCTGGAGGCGGTCGGGACAAATGAGCGGGGCGAACAGGACCAGGCAGCAGTGTGTGCGGGGGCGGGTGCCGGTGCCGGTGCCGGTGCAGGGCGGGTGCAGGTGCAGGTGCAGGGTTAGCGGCAGCGGGGGCGGGCAGGAGTGTGGGGCAAGCAGGAGCGCGGGGGAGCAGGAGCGCAGGGGAGCACAGTATCGTGTATTTTGTACACTGCAATACCAGACAATATTTGACGATAAAAAGTATCTATGGAGTCCCATTTTAGCACCGTCCAGCACTGTCTGGCATCGCGTAGTATCGTCCAGTATCGGAAGAGTGGATTTTTGCTATTCCGATACTCCACGATACTAGGCAATGCCTAGCCGATACCCGGTGATACCAGCCGATACCGTGTTTTCACTGGGCCTGAGTGGTGGTGACTGGCAAGTGGCAGGGATCAAATGTCTGTTTGCTTATATTGATGCCACCACCAAAAGCTGTCAAACCACTGGCAAATCACCCATTTTGCCCAGCAAGTTCACCAGAAGCATATATCTCCAATTCAAGTCAGCCAATGAATAGAGAAGCATTTGGGGGTAACTGTAATTTTTTAAACTATCAAACAGCATTGAAAACCGTCAATTGCCCTGTTTGATAGGGTCATTTGGCGTGATTCCTTTGGTCCATCATTGCACCCTCAATATTGGGTCATTTACTCTGAAATAAAATGCAGCAGACTTGCAAGATCAATCTACAGGGAATGTCCCGAACAGAATTTTCGATTTCTCTCCTGAACTTGTGTTATAAATGAGTGTGAAAACACATAAAAATGTCAAGGGCCAAATTCAAAATTCTGGCCGGGTGTCAGCAACGGCCTCTGGGTCGGCTAAACAGCGAGTAACCCGGCGAGAACCCCAACCAGGAGAAACCCGATAGACGCTAGTAGCTCATGTGTTCCCCGAGCAGTAGGACCAGTCGTACGGCGTCCTCCCTAGGAGGCCGTATGTCGTAGGTCGGGATGCGAGGCGGAACCCGGAACGAGTCAAAGAGGGTGTGATATCCACTCAGGTACAAAACCCGAGGTGTGGATACAACCCGTAGTACGGTGCGAGGGAAGCGGGGCAGGGTGGAGACAATGCCTATGTCAAGCCAAGATAGAAGCCTGAGATTAGACGAGGTAGAATCTACTGTACATGGAGATTCTACCGTGCTTATATAGGCTTCTAATAAATTAAAGCGATCGCGGTCAATCGCGATCAGTTCCTGCAACGTAGCGTTAAGGAGCATTAAGGCTGATGCTCCTGGACTCCTCTGTGTTGGTTTCCGTGACGTCGGTGGACCTAGGAGACCCGACGTTCGGGTTTCCTAGTCCTGAGTGTCATCGTATCCAGTGGTTCAAACCCCGATCGGGTTTGCAACCACTCCTGTACTCCGTGTACTCTCCTGTGTCAGCCCTTGGTGCGTCCGGGGACTAGAATCCGTCTGTACGGGTTCCTAGTCCCTAACGTCTTCTGTATTCCGTGGCGCAGACTCCCTGAGTCTGCGGCTTTAGAATCCGAGGCCGGGTTTCAACCGTGAGAAGGTCACGTGGTGGCGTCATGAGAGTCCCGTGCCGCTAAGACGCGTCTGTATCCATACGGACGCGTCGCGTGAAAAAGTAGAACCCGGGCGATTCATGACACCGGGACATTCCCTGCAAAAGATGAAACTAAGATGACCCTCCACTCAAAGTTTAGCCAAAATGTGGCTTGTTCGTGCAGCACGATGGACCGACTGATTTTGCCAGAATTTCGGTGATGGGAGCCATTATATAAGTGCCATCACTTCCCTTTCACTTGCCTGTCACCATGAGTGGTACGGGACTTAAGTTCCAGGCGTGTGGTACTCACATGTACAGGCTGATTGCATGCAGGGCAGAACTTAAGTTTGGCAGGACTTGAGTCCCAATGTGGTTCAGACCGGCATTAACTTAAGTTGAGCTCCTTCAATTTCATGAACTTAACACTTTGGAACAGTTTGCTAGACTTGCAAACTGGTAAGTCCAGAGATCTGGTGTCCTCTGACCTTCTGGAGTAACCATATCAAATACCCAGAATGCCTGGATGCATGCAGTGGCTCGATTGACCATTCCGTCGCGAACATGGAAATACCACTCATGTTGTTGTATACACGAACCAAATGTGTTGTTGAGTCATTTCAGTGCTGACCGAAAATCAAGGTTCAATGGCCATTGCAATTCAGGGACCATTTCAGCAGCTGTCTCTGCAAGTCCGGGATCAGTGGATGTCTCCAACATCCACACAAGAGCAGTGGCCTCGTTTGATGGAGGGCCAGGAGGATCTAAGATTGGAACAGCTTCAAGCAGCTCAGAAGTGTGAAATACTGGCAGCAGTGGCACTATTCTGGTAATGGTACCACTGCAAGTACTCCAACACTGCAAAAGGAGAGCTTGCATTTGCTGGAGGAGAAGGGCCAGGTGTGTCCAATGGTTTGAAAAAGACTGATGCCAGTGTTCCGGTACAGAGAATTGCTCCAGAAGTGTCTTCAAGAGGAAGCTGAGCGAAGTTTGGAATGGCGAATCCGGTGACACCACAGCAGAAATGACCATCACAGTATAAAGAAGGGATCCCAGTCCAGTCAGGGTGAGAGCAATTGCAGCAATGATATGGTGTATTGTCCATAGGTAGATTGAGAGTGCAGTTGCGAATAACAAGAGCGAGAATTGAAGAAGAAGGGGAAAGGCCTGAATGACAAGGTTAAACTGCCATCGACACATCCCATCGAATTTCCACTGTCGCTCAGCTCCTCACTCTGCAATTGTGCCTCGCTCACCAACAGAGTTGTAATGCAGGAGCCACTGCTTCCCGAGAACTGCCAGAAGTGCAGCCAGGAGTGTAGCAAACAGGCTGAAATAGAGGAGACTCTGTGCAACTACCACAGATGATGCAATGGGGGCTTGAGAGGTTGAGATTTCTGGAGACAGGAGGGTCAGAGGCAAACCAGTTATGTTTTGCACCAGAAGAACAAGTAGGGCCTGTGTTGGGTCAGGCTTCAGCTCAGGCTGGATCTGTATGATGAAAGCAGAGCTAACAGCTGAGAAAAGACCTGCCTGTAGTGCAATATCAAGGGACTGAATCAGAGCAAAAAAAAAAAAAAGGAGTGCACACAAAGATGAGTGATGTATTGAGGTCATCCCCATATTTCGACTGGATCTCCTTATCAAATCTGTCGGCTAGTGTTTTGTAGGCAGTCCAAAAGGCAATCTTCTTGTCGGGAGACTGTGGCTTCTGCTTCAGTGCCTCAATTGCGGTGGTCACACTGTAAATCATGGGAACGAGAAAAACAATGCCTGCAAGTTCCAACATACCTTTCAAATACTGTCTTCAAGCTTTGCAAAAACAGTCAATTCAGTCCCATAGAATTGACTCGCACCATACCTTGCAGATTGCGCATTGATGGCAGCAACGATTCTGGTATGCCTTGTCAATTCACTGGTGCCAGGAGTTCCATGGGGACTACACACTTGTTTGTATCTTTGCCCCGATTGACATCTGTACTAGGTGCGGTGGGCCTGAGAAATGCGGTCAGCACAGCAGCGAAATACCCGCAAATATATTCATACCCTTTGGGGCCTTGAGCATCCGGGGCCGGCTGCTGCTCAGTGGGTACTGAATTGTCAAGGGTGCTAGTATCTCCTCCAGGAACAGTAGGAAGTGTCGGGGACGGCTCCATTGCACGGTCGCCGTGATGGACGTGGGGTGTGTGCAAGAGGAAGGTAAGGCTCTTCGACTTACATAATAGTGAGATTGATTATCAGCATCGTGATGCAATTCGGCCGCCTGTCCGAGTCTAAGAGGTGGTACTGGTACTTGTAATTTGCGACACAGGGATCCCCACTTCCATCGAGGGGAACTCGGGATTAAAATTTCGTACGTGGGGAGGGGGGGGGGGGTCCCAGGGGAGGCTGAAAAAAACTTTTTGATACTTTTGTTGGAAGGGGTTGAAAACCCTCAACTTACCGTTTGGACAATGTCAGGTAGTGTTTGTACGATGCCCGAACCATCTTGGAGGTCAATTTCCTAATATGGAATGCCGGATCACGTACGACGCGTAGATTTTGCCTTCCGTTGGCTCAACCACCTTCCCCGAT